AAAGTTATCCCTCAATTCTGATTGGTTGATAGGAATGTTGTTCCAGGATCAACAAGGATGCTGATCCAGAAACATGTTGTACTTGGTCAAATCACAATCACCTTTATCATACAGCTCTATGGGTTTTATGATATATATATATATGTATATGTGTGTGTGTGTGTGTGTGTGTGTGTGTGTCTGTGTGTGTGTGTGTGTGTGTGGGTGGGTGAATCTAATGTTATTTTTTGATATCCTTTAGGATTAGTACAGTGCAAAGTCAGTTACAGGGAGGGTAATAAGGGACACTTCCTAAGAGGAAGTTGAACTTGTTGAACTTTTTGAACTTGTCAGTTAAGGACATGAGATACTCTTAACTAATCTGATGTTTTAGAATGTTGCTGCTTTACATAACAGATGTTGCTTCATAACATTTCTTAATGCTTCATACATTAAAGAACACAGTTATGATCTTTCAGCGACCTTTTCTGAAGGTTACAGCATTAACTCAGTAAATGGCAACAAGTGACTGTCTTTATGAGGGGGTCATTAAATCATTTAATCAACAGGTTTGTAAAAAAATATATATAAATAAATAATAAAACCTTATTCAACAACAACGAAATAATGACAAGCCAATTCTGAATACCATACTAACATACTACTCTTGTTCTTTCTGCTACATTATGATATGGTCGAAATAGTAAAGGTAGAATTCAGATTCTGTCTTTCTAACTGAGTGATAAATTATTCAAAAACACTGATTTATTAAGGTTCTGTTGTAACTGCATATGGAAATATTTTAGTTGGTGGAGCAAAAATAGACAAAGTAATCGACAAATTTGCGTCTAATATGTCCAGCTGCTATTTACAGAGAGCAACTCATATTTTCTTCCCATTAGTCTTTCACATAGGGATTTTAAAAAAAAGTAATCCATAAAGAGTTATAAGCCACGAATCAAACCAAAGGTAAAAAATAAATTACATACTTTGAAGCAAGAAAGTATTTGAAAATCAGTCAAAAACATAAAGGTACAAGACTGTGTGTGTAATTAAAGGGATACTTCACCCTAAAATGAAAATTCTGTCATCATTCACTCAGCCTCATGTCATTTCAAACCTGTATGAGTTTCTTTCTTCTGCTGAACACAAAAGAAGATATTTTAAAGAATGTGGGTAACCAAACAGTTTCTGGTCCCCATTGACTTCCATAGTATTTTTGTGTTTCCATATATGGAAGTCAATGTGACTAGCAACTGTTTGGTTACCCACATTTAGTTTTTAACAGAAAAAAACAAACAAAAAAAAATAATGTAAATCATTACAAAATGTTAGGGTGGCATTAGAAGGCATAGGGTGAACTATCCCTTTAATGTCTTTAACGAGGGAAATAACTAAAATAAAGCATTGCGAATTACATAATCAAAGTAGAAATATTAAAGTAGTTTTAGAGAATAGGGAGACTTCGACTCGATTACGTCATTCGCGGTTTCAGTTCCCTGATTAGTGGAGATTTCTTTGCAGCATCATGGATAATGTAGTTTTTCCACCAGGAATTCTGCTGTTGAACATGATTATTTAAGAAAATTAATTGAAGATCTGATGACTTCAACAAAAGTATTTACCATTGATTAAAAAACTCCTAGCTCACATTAGGCCTGTCTTTAATGGTTTAAAAGTTAAACTGAAAATCAATAGGATTTTTACTTCGGGAACCTTACTATTGCATGGCTCTCTAAATTATGATTTGTCAGTCACATTGTGAGGTCTTTTATTCCCTGATAATGATCAGCATCAGTAGCAACACAGTCTAACAGATTGCATATTAATAGAGCTGTAATGTTGTTGTTGTTGTGTTCATCTTCTTGCCAGGAAAACTGTACACTGTAATGGATTATTAGATAATAAACAGGTAAAATACGTTATCTTTAAATATTCGTCATTTAGAATTTGCCTCAAAGCCACTTGCTATAGGAACTTTAGGAGCTTTACATTTAGTGAGACAATAAAATTGTTAAACTCAAATAACCATGTAATAAGCAAGATAATGTACATCCAGCTGGTGGGTTTTGATAAATAAACCCCTTCAGGGTAATAAAAGATCCCTTCGGGTCCTGATCACCAGCTCGATGTACATTATCCGTTAGATACTGTGAACAATTTATTCTGGAGAGGATTAAAGATTCTGGATTAGGAGTTGTTGTTTTTTATTATACACATCGCAAACAAAGCTCTAAAAACTTTGGGAAGATTTCTTGTGGTTCATATCAGCCGTAAGATTCTGTGACATGACCTTAAAGTTTCGCTTCATTGTCCCAATACACATTTGGATTCAGAGACTAAATAAAGCTCTTTTACTTTATTTTGCAAATTGAGAGTGGGCTTTGGATGCAAAGATGTGTTTGCATGTCTTCTAATAGCTACCCCACACTGCCAGCCTCTTACTTAACCACTAATTAGATTCTGTTGTTTAAAAAATAGGTTTCAAATTTTCCCAAACGTTTCTGTTCCTGCATTAACCGGACAGTGTGTCTAAAATGTTTTTCTGAATTTTGCCTGCAACTTGTATTTTGTTTAATTGAAAGATGTCTTAACAGACAGCCTGACGCTCTGGGATGTTCATTTCCCTGGAATGATGTTTTCATATTTGTAGATGAATGACTTCAATTTCTCTGTGAGACAAAGCAAAGCAATCAAGAGTCTGAGGCTCTGCCAGAGCATGACCTTACACGTAAATGCTTAAGAAAAAGGGTAAGCTACTAATTCATACAAAATTATTTACACACTTCATACTGAGACTTCATCAATTATTAAATGCAGCATCTTCCTGCAATTACCAGAAATGAATCTCTGTCCCTGTTTGAGTTCAGAGAGTCTGCCTCTTATCTTGTAAAATACACATAATATTAAAAAAAAATCCTATTCCATTATTTTTAAAGTGCAGTGTTGATAAAAAGGCAATTAACATCAAAGAAGCTGAACCTGCATTTTAGTATTAAACAGTCCAGCATTAATCCTCAATCTCATGCCTGCATTGTGTTCAGAAACATCACCATTCCTAACGCAATCATGCCTGTGAATATTAATTTTTAAAAAAGGATTGGAGGGTGTCAAATTGACCTTAGGGGAGACTGAGAGTTTATCCAACCATATCAACATACATCTGCCAAAACACCAATTAATCTCATATTCTAATATGCCAAAACATCTTCCCTTTTGAATACAAATTTCCTCTCTCTATATCTATAGATATAGACAAGGATCTGTTGACAATTGTGTTCTAGAGTTGTTTTGGAGAAGGAATTTTAAATGCCTGGTTTTCATAAAGCCTTGCCATTAGTAAAATCTCATTTTCTTTGCATAATTTTCAATGTGTCCCAATGACGTGTGCTGAGATAAAAATCTGTTCATCTGCATTAAAAGCACCATAGTTATTCTCTGACAGCAATGAGTCAGTTGGCACACACAGCTTAGCGGTTTTATTTTTCAAGAGCAGTGGAAAACCAACAGCATTACACTGAAGAAAGAGGAGTCCAGGAGGCAAAATGGATACAGTTACCAGGATCCCATCAATTGCAAAGCTTATGAGAATGCAGCCCGAATGCAATGTCCTAACACATACAAAAGTCATACCAAAAAAAAAAAAAAAAAAAAAAC